CCCCCCGCTTCCCCCACCCCCCACACACACACACACACACACACACACACACACACACACACACACACACAGTCCTTAAAGGCTGAAAAGGGAGCCAAGTTTGGAATTCAGGGAAGTGATGACACACACAACAATGCTGTCACACCTGGCTGCTGCAGGCCAGCAGCGGAAATGCCTGCAAGGGCGAGAGAGGGAGAGGGCGAGAGAGGGGGCGCCAGCCTGGGTGGTCAGAAAAAAACAGAGGAGAGAGCAGCCCCCCACCCCCCAGCTGTATTTTCCCCTGCCAAGGCCCTGGGGGAGGATGGACAGTGAGGTCAATCTGCAGCAGCCCCAAACCCAACTCACACCACTCCCACCCATAGCCTGGGCACTAAGGGGGGTGAGGAAGAAGAAAACACCTCCGCTCTTGCTCAGGAAGCAACCACAGAAGTTTTGAAGGAGAGCTGCTTGCCCCGGTGTATGTTGGAAGCAGTGAAAGAAAACAATCAAGCCACCTGGGACCTTTTTCCCTCTTACTGTGGTGCTCAGGCCAGGCTGCCCTGCTGAGCTCTCTGGAGTCATCTTCAAGATGCTGAATTCCAAAGAGCCTGATCACCCTGTCCTCCTTTCCTTTAATCTCAGAATGCAGATCAGGGGCCTGAGTGGGAAGAGGCCGCACATGAGGGTGCGGCCTGTGGATGCTGGGGAAAAGGCCCATAGGCCACCAGTGGCTGTTCAGGCTTCCTCAGAGACTGCGCAGCTTGGGTGGAAGAGGCAGTGACAGGCATTGGGCCAGCCACTCCAGACATACCAACCACTACACACACCCGCATGACATCCATTCAGTTCACCTTCCTCCACAAAGTATCCTGGCCCCATCGGCGACAAGGGGTTTGGAGCATGAAGACTCAAAACACCGGTCATGTCTCTCACACTTTATGATTGCAGACTTTTTGTTAAGGCTGAGTTAAATGTTAAAAGACACACCTGACTATTTTGCCAGCACTGATTTCCCCTGAGACAACCTCCCTGCATGCAACTGGGTCCCAGTCAGACTTCCGCTGAAAGTAGGTGAGAATTCACCCCTCAGCCCTGGAGAAAGATCGAACAAATGTCTTGTCAGGAGAGAGATTTGAACAAGTACCTCCCTTACAGCCTGTTGTTTTTCTTTCTAGTCTGTGATAGATTATATACACCAGCAGCGAGAGAGGCAGGAAGAATTGAGAAAGAAAGAAAAGAGGAAATGGGGAAGGGAAGGAAAGAATAAAGGAGAGAGAGGACAGAGAAAAGAGGAAAAAGAAAGAATATGCAATATTCATGAGCCACATTTACTCTGATACATGATACACATATACCATTACATATCTATAGGTATAAATGTGTTTTACCCCACAGGTATATAAATATCACACCTTGTATATGTGCATACCTGTGTTTCTGCACCAGCACACGCACACCCGGACAGCTGGTATCTCACGTGTCACAAGGACAGGCCCTCCGCATGACTTCTATTTGTGATGCGGTGCACATACATATACAGTCCCCCAAAGCCCCACGGCAACATCTGCGCCTGTGTCGGCACAGGAGCAGAGTGGGGTCTACTTGGTTAAAGGGAGTCTCTGTGTGTTAAAGCACACATCCAACCCGTAGGATTAGGACGCGGTGACTGAGTAGGGTCTGGTCCCTAGGTCCAGGAGCGGCGCAAGGAAGGGTGCAGGGGCTTCAGGCGGAGCCCCCGGGCCCCTCTTCCCAACGATCTTCTTCCCCGGCTCCGTCCCGGCCCAGTTACTCTGAGAGCGCAAGGGACAGGCCAGGCCGAGGTTTCTTCGTTCAGTGACACGCGTTTCTGTGCTGAATTTCCCAAAGCCAACGCGCAGCTCTCTGCACCCCACCCTCGTCCGGCCCCCTCGACGTCCCGCCCCTCCCCCGGACGGGAGCTAAAAGTTTAGCCCCCAGCCAGCAGCGAAGGGCAGAGCAAAGGAGTCGTTTTCTTTCACCTGGAAGCTGCAAGGAGGCTTGGCGCGCCTCTCCCCGCTAGGGCCCTAGCTCCCAGGGCACGGGCCAAGTGCGGACGGACCCCGCCGAGGCCCTTGGCATCTCCCGGCGCAGTCCGCAGAGCGAGCACCGGCAGATTCAAGGGCTTGTGAGAGCGTGAGCGCGGCTGTCCGCCGGGCCCCCTAAGCTCGCTGGGAGGGGGCAGGCCGGTCCGGGCTGTGCGGGGCGTTTACAAAAAGTGACTTGGAGATGAACTCTCCCATGCGCGGCTGGCCGCCCCGCTATAGGGGCGAAGGCGCCTGACGCAAGCGGAACTCGGCGGAGCCCATACGAATCAGAACAGAGCGAGGCTCCTGGCGCACTAGGGACTCCAGGAGGCAGCTCCGCCAGAGACGCGGGTCTTGCCTCGGGAAACCGGAGGGTGGGGGGAGGGGAAGAGCGCAGAAAAGAAAACCCACCGAGGCGGGGACTGGCCTGGGCGGGGAGGGGCGGCGGAGCCGGAGCCCCTCTCTGTTGGGCGGACTGCCCATGGCCAGAGGCTGAGTTCCACTCCCGCCGACCTCTCCCTAGGGGAAGGGAAAGAAGAGAGAGGCGCGAGAGGCCGCCAGCGAGAGCGCGGGCGGCATCCGCAGTCTCCAGAAGTTTGAGACTCGGCCGGGAGCGGACTTGTGCGCCGGGACTCTTTGCCGCGCCAGCGCCAGCGGAAAAGAGCAGGGACTACCCGGCCGCGGCGCGCCGGCTTTGTCATGATGGCTAGCTATCCCGAGCCCGAGGACGCCGCGGGGGCCCTGCTGGCCCCGGAGACCGGCCGCGCAGCCAAGGAGCCCGAGGCGCCGCCGCCGCCGAGCCCGGGCAAGGGTGGCGGCGGCGGCGCCGGGACAGCCCCGGAGAAACCGGACCCGGCGCAAAAGCCCCCATACTCGTACGTGGCGCTCATCGCCATGGCGATCCGTGAGAGCGCAGAGAAGAGGCTCACGCTGTCCGGCATCTACCAGTACATTATCGCCAAGTTCCCGTTCTACGAGAAGAACAAGAAGGGCTGGCAGAATAGCATCCGCCACAACCTCAGCCTCAACGAGTGCTTCATCAAGGTGCCGCGCGAGGGCGGCGGCGAGCGCAAGGGCAACTACTGGACGCTGGACCCGGCCTGCGAGGACATGTTCGAGAAGGGCAACTACCGGCGCCGCCGCCGCATGAAACGACCCTTCAGGCCGCCGCCCGCGCACTTCCAGCCGGGCAAGGGGCTCTTTGGGGCCGGAGGTGCCGCGGGTGGCTGCGGCGTGGCAGGCGCGGGGACCGACGGCTACGGCTACCTGGCGCCCCCCAAGTACCTGCAGTCCGGCTTCCTCAACAACTCGTGGCCGCTACCGCAGCCGCCCTCGCCCATGCCCTACGCCTCGTGCCAGATGGCGGCGGCCGCTGCG